CCTGGCCTGTACTGTGCAGTTCACATACGAGATTCTCTCTCAAAGTAATTTTTAGGTTTGAATTCCAATTGCGTCTCACTGATGAGCGGCACACAGTGTCGCTGAGTGTTGGTATTGTCAAGCGGACAGACTCAGGCAACCACCACCACCGTCTGCTCCCGAGGAGCCTGACTTTCTTTTCTGTTTAAACAATCCAGGTCTAAAGGTCGTTCTGGCCAAGGGCGTCCTGCGTAAAGCACCCTTAAACATAAAAAGACAGAAGGCACACTCCTGGACATCCGAAATTGTTCATTTCCTGAAGACCTTCAAAACCATGACTTCTAGGTGTTTTATTGGTTATTCCTGCAAACCGCGTAAATCATGCTGAGACAGATATATAGTTAGGCTTCATTAAAACCTAACTGTAAATATAAATTTTTATATACATTTTTCCTTGTATAATTCTAGGCTGTGTAGAAAATAATTACAAATTTTACATAGTTAAGATTCCTAATATTTGTTACCCTTTGTTTATTTGAAAGAGAAAAGACCTAAATTGTCAAATGACTGAGTTTTGGAAAGACCTTAAGAAATGAAGGGTTGCAGTTGGTAGTGTTACCGTGCATGTGTGCTGATCGCCATTGTGTGGACTTAAGTCTTAGGAATAGCATTGAAAGTGAGTTCTGTTTGATGATATCCAGTGATGTGAAAGTAGGTCTATGTGAATATGAAGCATGACAGAGCTTGACGCCGCATTGAGTTTCAAGATGAGGTTTTTTCAGTATCATGTTGGTCCAGACGCATCCATCTTTCAAGGCTTACTATGTGGAAAGTGCAGTGTTAATTTGTTTCTTTCAGTTCTTCATGCTTCTGTGTTGGTCATCTGAGCCTGAATTCTGGTCATTAGTTTCTCTTCTGTGAAGCTAGTGGCATCCCAAATTTCCAAAAATAGCCTGTGATGGTTTAGGGCAGAATCGTTTCGGTTCTGTAACATTTGCTTGTATGGTTCTCTGACCCAACAATTACAATCGCTGGTTACCTAGGAGTGTCTTAAAATTCCCAGATAGATTAGATGCCTGGAAATTTCATACATTCAAGAAAAATAAAATCAACTATTTTGTAGATCATGTTTTAATTTTTTCTAGCCAGGTACATAGCATACCCAGGAAATTTTGTTCAGACTGTAAGCATGCACTAATCAGGTGTTTGGAGATTATTCAGAGAGCAGGCCTTGGTGATATGGGACAGAACAGTTCAGGTCACACTCAGTTCACACAAAAAGAAATTAGAATTGTTAGTGTACCGTTTGGTTGTTATATGAAGTTCAATTATTTGATAATTATGTTTTTAATGTCTGATTTTGTTATATATATATTTCAGTCATCTGATACTGTGGAAATAGCTTATACCATATTTATTTTTAAAAAGTGTTTTTAAATACACGATGTGTGGGTCTCATTATTCGTCAGCTTTGCATTTGGCTGCTGGTCTCTGATAGCAGGGTTTGGATGTGTGTGTGAACAGGCCTATTGTGATCAGCGTGATTCGAAGGGAGCCTGCTTTGGGATTTTCACTGATGATAAAGTCCCGAGGGGACTGTTGCTAACAAACCAGACTTTATTATAGTCTGACTCTATACAAAATATGTCTGTGATACATGGACAGGCATCTCCTCTGCCAAGGATTTTAAGGATTTCTTTACATTAATTCTGAGTTTATACTTCTTTAATCGAAATAAATGGCAATGACAAAAACCGTGTAGAAAGTCCCTTGATCTGCCTGGTTCTACTCTCTGAGAAGTCTGGAGTGCTCTGTAGTCTACATATTGCCTGGAAAATGAGCGGTGTACGAGGTGAGAGGCTGAGGTTTCACAGTTATCATTGGGGTGTGATGGCAAACCCCGTCACTCTGGAAACTGAAGTAGGAAAATCCCACACTCAAGACCTGTCTCAGAACATTTAGTCAAACATTTAAGGCCTGAAATACCACAGAGGGTCTGGGCGTGCAGCTCAGCAGCAGAACACTTGCCTACAGTAGAACAGGTACACAGGAGCCTGGTTTGCTCCCCACTAACAGGCGTGAGTGGAAACAGCGCATGAGTGATCTGGCCACAGTGCCAACTGCATTGCATGAACCAGTAGACTTCACTGTACTCGTTCCTTTTCTTCTGAATGTTTAGTTGGGAACTGTGAGCTATATAATTATTTTAGAAGCTGAGGCTGAAGCTGTCATTTTTTTTGCTGATGGCATATTTAAATAAGCATTAAAAAGCCTTTTTTCTCCAAACTGGGCAATAATTCTTCGGCCAACCTCTAGCTAGCATTCAGCAATGGTTCTGCCTCTCCCAGGCCAGAGGCGCTGTGTTATCTGGCTAGTACAATTCTGATAGCTTAGTTCCTCCAGTCTCCCTAAAATGTGGTTGGTAGAGGAAGCTAATCCTGGGATAATGTTACAGAATTATTGGGAGCGAGCAAGTTAATAGGTGTAAATTATTAATCCAGTAATTTCTGACTTATAGAAATCGTTCCATAAATATCATCTATTGTTGCATTGATATTGTTATTTGTTTGGAAGAAATTTTCAAATTCTTTAAGGCAAAAGTTAATTGTACCTCTTTCTATAATTTGAGTTTCTATGGGGGAAGTTTTTCAATTACTAGCCCCACTCTGCTCTTGGCTGTAACTTCCTGTCTGCCAGGCTGTGTTCAGAATTGAGCCCAGTTTCTCCATGGCGCTGGTCTCTGTGCTGTCACTGTGGCCCTGGGTAGTGTCTTCGCGCTGTGCTCTAACAAGGACCACTGATGTTTTCTCTAACAGTGTACTCGCGTTTGGACCTAGAAAGGAAGCTCCTGAATCTGTTTCTCTCCATCTCACCACCCCACCTGTCATATCTGAGTTCTACAAAAGTTTTGTCTCTCCTGGCTGCCACCCTAACTTTGTGTAATCTGTTACCCAGGGCCTTATGTATGAGTAACTGTGTGTTCACACCTTACTTTTCACAGTTGTCACTATGCTTTAATCCACCCAGCCACCCAGGATGAACACAGCCTCATTGCCTAGATTTGCAAGTTCCTACTTTCCCACCTTCTCCTCTTACTGGCCACATCCCAGCTACCTGTTCTTCCCAATGAGTAAGTGCATTTTCACTTCTATGTGAGCTATTCCCGCAGTCTGCAAGGCTGTCTGAGAACCACATTTGGGTTAGATGTCACTGTCTCGTGGGGATCCTTTCCACTGCCAGTGTAAACAACACTCCCATCCTGTCAGAGTTTGCTTCTGCCAGTGTCTGACATGTGTGTGGCGTCTCCCAGTGTAAAGCCTGAGCCCCAGTCTGACTACCTTAGTGTGTCACAGTGTACAGTGATTAGAAGATGACACCAAGCTGCGTCTCTCTGGAGGTCACCGTGGTTGTCCCAACATGGCAGCAATGTCCTTCGCCTCATCTAGATTCTCATCATCTCAGGATGGGTCACTCAGAGTTCCCTGTAGACCCACACTGAGTTCTGCTAGAACCTGCCAAAATCAGCTTAAGTTATAAGCAGAGTGGCTGTCCACATAAGCCACAGTTGTGACCATGTGACCTCTCAACAGCTTCTACACGTGGGTGCTTGTGTGATGAATAGACAGGCGCCGTGGCATTTTCAAGGAAGAGGCCGTGAACCTATAGGCCTCTCTCAGTCTCACCACAGTGATTATTTATGGAGCTTCCGTCTTCCTCCTTTGAGATGGAGTCGCTCACTCACTTGGAGCTTGCCATCTTTCTGGTCTATGAGAGACCCAGCACTACAATTCCAGGTAGACACAGCCATATTCAGATGTTTATATGGGTTCCGGGGATCTGAACTCAGGTCCTTGTGATTGCTAAACAAGCCGTCGAGCTAATCCACCAAAGTGAGCCTCATGTGACTTTTTCAGACAGAGTTTCTCTGTGTAGCCCTAGCTGTCCTGGAACTAGCTCTGTAGACCAGGCTGGCCTTGAACTCACAGAGATCTGACTTCCTCTGCCTCCTGATTGCTGAGATTAAAGGTGTGCTCCACAACCACCTAGCACATACAATCATTTTCTACCCTTATATTTCATCCACCTTTTTTTCTTACATTTTTATAAAAATAATATGTAAAGTTTGGGAAGTGGGTCAGTTGGTACTTGATGCATAAGAAAAAAGATCAGAGTTCAATCCCCAGAATCTGTGTAGAAAAACTAGGTATGATGTCGGGCTTGTGTTTGTAATCTCAGCAACTGGGGAGACAGGGAAAGGCAATTCCCCGGGACTCAATAGCCAGTCAAGCCAGCCTTCTATTGAGAGACTTTGTCTTGAAAAACAAGGTGGATGGAGCCTAACTTCCACACATCTGCACACGTGTATGCTGCCACACACCCGTGCAACACACACATATACTCATATTTAAAATGAACAAGCAGAATCTTGGAGGTGATGCCTTTGAGTTCAACCAGGTTCAGGTAACGAATGTGGGAAAGGAAAGATCGGAGTGGAAAGCGGCCAAAAAGCACAGCTAAGAAGTCCCACAGGCATTAGCACGTACATGCATGCACAAACAAGTATACTAACACTGCTGACAGTCTTGAGAAGGGTGGCCCATCACTCATGAGGAACCCCTCCCCCAAGACCCGCCCAGGAGCCCAGGAGCCCTGAGGGCAAAGACGGTGCTCAGCCAGCCAGACACTGCAGCAAATTGTCTTCCAAAGGTCAGAATAGACAAAAGAATATGGGTGTGTGTGAGTGTGAGTGAGTGTGAACAAAGTGCTCATGCGCATCACCATCGTGCACAGGACAATATTCTTACCTACTTCTTTATGGGTAAACAGACCCACAGATGGCAGCTTGTCTAAGGGCAGTAACACATACACATGATTTTGCAGCGTACTCGGTGACACTGTTACTAGCCATCAGTGTGTGTAGCACACGTGGATATGCAGCCTGACACGTAGTAAGTGTTAAGTTTTTCTGGCCGACAAACCTCTCCGCCAACGCAATAATCCAAGTTAGACCAAATCAAACAATTAGAAGAAGCCCAGGCTTAGTGGATGCCAGCACTCTCGGAAAAACACAAAGAGGGGGAAAGGAGAACCAGAAGGACCGTGTGTTCCTTCTCTGCTGGGGGGCAGTTAAAATAGTCTGTGGGAGGGAGTGGTCTGGACCCTCCCGGGGAGGGGCCACCTTTTGGCGGGCTTTCTTAGAGGTGGAGTTTGGATTGAGGCAACTCCCAGGGGAGGGGCTGAGGTGACCTTCCGACCAACAGTGAGCCCTCAGAAAGACTGCTTCTTCAGACTGCAGAGATTTGGTCCTGCCAGTTCTGGAGGGTGGTGCTGTGCTCTAGGCCTGCCTTGCTTACCTCCCGGTTCTGTGCCAGGACACTGAGGCAGGCTAGCGGCCTCCAGCTCTGTCAGAACTGTTCTGTATGTGTAAGAAACAGCCCAAACAAACATGGCAGTTTACATATTAATTTTGAGTGAAATTGTTGATTGTTTGAAACTCTATTCCTATCTATGATTAATATATTTCCTCTAATTTAATAAATTAACAAAATTAATTCTTTTTTTTTTTTGAAGGGAGATTTTTTTTTTAAGATTTATTTATTTATTATGTACACAGTGTTCAGCCTTCATGTATGCCTACAGGCCAGAAGAGGGCACCAGATCTCATTACAGATGACTGAGAGCCACCATGTGGTTGCTGGGAATTGAACTCAGGACCTCCTGTAGAGCAGTCAGTGCTCTTTACCTCTGAGCCATCCCTCCAGCCCCAAAATTAATTCTTTAGTAAGAAATGTAGTCAATCACCTGTCTGAATTTTACTTTACATCAGGAATAAATTTGTGGGAGAAATCTTTATCGTGTACCGCCTTAGCCGCAGTCAGTACTGGACCTAAGTTTGTGGTGGTTTGCATTGCTTTTTAAATTAGGCCTCATTTTGTCTGGCAGGTAGGTGCTGGGACTCTTCTAACAGTGGCTCTGGAGCTGGGGGTGGCATTGTATTTTAAAGCTCACGGGTGGTTCTTGTTCAAGTGGAGTCAGAAGCACACTGATGTTTGACGTGGTCATGTTTAAATGACAAGCACTCACCTCCACCACAAACGTGCTCAGGAGCATAAGATCTCAGGAAATCGTGGACTCTGCTGCCAGAGCCTCGCCTTGAGGGGCTGTGGCCTGGGTTATGTGCACATTCAGTTTTCAGGGTTGACTTTATGCAAGCGTGCATGTGTGAACTGTCTGTATCAGGAAGCAGAGTTCTGTGGACGTAACTGGTGAGAGAGAAATTGCCAGGACACACAGAGAAGTCTAGAAGGAAAGCAGAAGAGAGCAAGGGAGGCTACTTAACCACATTGCCATTACAGTCTGGGCCCTTCTGACGTCAGACTCGCCCACTATGAGACTGGTGGCTCTGCATGTGTCTATTACAGGTTCTGTAAGCATATTCTCTAATCATCTTAAACAATAAAGGATAAAATACTTAAATTGTTCAGATTAATTGAAATAAGTCATAGCAGACAAATCAGTTCAAACACTTTAAAAACCAAATGTTCTTTCTTTCAGCGAACACTTGTATTAACTTAGAAAAGCCATAACCTCTAATGTATAAAACTGAGTTCCAGCTTACCTAGCCTTCCAGTCTGCTTTCGAACCTGCTGGTTGCCTGACTTCCATCCTCATTCTGTCCACCAAGGTGGGAAAGACACACAAATGTGGGAAACGCAGGGCCGATTTACCCCAGGATGTCCATAGACGCTGTTTCAGAGATGGGACGAAGGGAGAGTTATGGGAGAACACAGCCTCAATGCACCCACCAGCTAGTAACCCAGCAGAACAGCATTAGAGATTATATCCCCACACACCCATCCTGTTGCAGATAATCTTTTACCTCTTCCCTCCCCCAAGTAAACCTTTCACTGAATTTTCTATTTACTGCGCTGACGCCTGTCATTATGTGCCTCCATAGTTTGCATCCACAACAGAATGGTGTGTGCAACCTTCATGTAATGACTCATATTGCACACATCCTTACACAGATCCGAAAGTATATTTTAGAGGAATACATCTTGATACAGGTAGCTGAAACTTATTCACTCAGTAGTGTTCTAGTTTAGCAATCTCCCAAAATACATGTATCTGTTTCTTGTTAGTAAATGTTGATGTTATGTTTCAGGCTTGGTTTTGGTTTTATTTTTTTTTTAAGTAATGTCTTATTATGTGGCCCAGGCTGGCCTCAAGCTTGCTACCTGGCCCAGGCTGGCTTCTAACCCACGCTCCTCCTGTCTCAGTGTCTGGGGTGCTGGGGTTACAGACATGTGCCGCCACACCTAGCTTCAGTTTCTTCCCCTTAACATTCCAGTAAAAACCTCTAAAAATTCTTTTTGTGAATATATTGGTTAATGGATTTGCATGTCAGCAGTTTGTCAAGTTTTCCTCCTGAGTTGTTCCAGCATGGGTGCCTACCAGCAGCACCTGATGCCCCTGTTCGCCCAGCCACAGCAGTTCTGCCAGTCAGGATGGTCCTGTTGCAGTAATAACACAGAATCTCAGCAGTGTAGTGCAGAGTCCTAGGCTCTGCTCGTCATGGTCACTAAGGAGCAGGGATGAAGGCTCCCTCCGACACTGACCTACTGAAGCAGGGGAAAGACACTTACTAGGCTTAGCTGCAGCCCATGAAGTCCCTGCATAGAAATACACTTTCATTTTAACTGAGCCAAACCAGGCCCATTGCCAGTCTTAACTTCTTAGTCCCCATTCCTCCCCTCAGGGTGCTACTATTTGTAAGTTTTATTACAAATATCACAGGTCCTGACAAACTGCAGTTCTCACTAGTCCAGAGAAAATGAGTGTCATCGTTTTTGTTTGGTGACTTACTTAGGGGGGTTAAGTGTATGCTTGTATGTTTATTGGTCACTTGGGTTTCTTCTCATTCTTAATCCATTTGTGCAGCTCATAACAATTAAATAAGCTAATTTATTAAGAGATTTATTTCTCTTAGCACTAGAAACCAAACTCTAAGATAAGCTCGTGCTGTCTAGTGAGGGCCCCTGAACTGCATCCTCGTGCAGGAGAATGTGGAAGACAGGCTCAGCCTAGGTCATGTCTCTGTTAGGACCAGAAAGCTGAGTGAGGTAGCGCGTACCTCTAATCTCAGCATTTACACAGGGAGGATGGCAAATTTGAAGCCAGCCTGGGCTATGCAGTAAGACTCTACCTTAAAAAAAATCAAAACAAAAACATTTCTTAAGACTATCAAATTGATAGCAGCTAGGTTTAGTATGGGACAGATGTGTTAGGGTCTAAAGAGCATCTGCTTTCCTGCTGAGCGTTAAGGCTCACTATATGCCTACGAGTGGTCTGTGTGCATGCCGCCCCTTTATTAGTAACATGGATCATGCATACCTAGACCTTTCAGAATGCGGTATCTCTTTGCATTTTGTTTAAGGTTGTTAACGATTCATAGAAGGTTTTTTCCTCTGTTTTTGTTTAGTTTTCCGTGTTATGAGATGGTATCCCAGGATAAGCCCAGAACTTACAGCAGCTCTCCTGTTTGTTCATTTGTTTGTTTGTTTGTTTTCGAGGCGGAATCTCACTGTGTAGCCCTGGCTATTCTGGAACTTACTCTGTAGACCAGCCAGCCTCAAACTCAAACATCTACCTGCTTCTGCCTCGCGAATGCTGGGACTAAAGGTGTGCACCACTCCACCTGGCAATGGGTCTTGACCTTCAAAATCATTTTTATAGGCATGAGCCAACATACCTGGAGGAAGTTAATTTAGACTATAATTAAATATATTAACTTTTCCTCTTTATGATTCCATCTCTTTAAGAAGCCATTTTTGTTCCTGATATTTACTGTAATGTTTGCTTTCAGAAGTTTTGAGATTTATCTTTTTCATATTTAGGTGTAATGCTGTCAGGAGGCTGTCACTAGACTTGATGAGATTATCCTGGGTCTTGAATTGTGTTTGGTGTGAAATAGAGACCTAATTCTTTCCTCTGTTTACAGAGCTGTTCTGGCACCGTCCCTGACTCCCTTCACAGTGACTAGCAGACAGCTGCCCGACACAGGATATGTCTGTGCACGTGTGCGCTCTGTCAGGGTTCTTTGGTTGGATTCCTTTCTCTGTCCAGGCCTGTGGTAGTTTCATTAGGATGTATTTCTTTGTGTGTGCGAGTGTATGCATGTGTGTGCAGTACCCACAGAGGCAAGAAAAGGGCATGTGATTCCCTAGAGCTGGAGTTACAGGAAGCTGTGAGTCCCTGACCTAAGAGCTGGGAGGGAATCAGATTCCAGTTCCCTGCAAGAGCAGCA